ATGAGTGCTAGCCAAATTGAGTTTTACCTTCCTTCTTGGAGATGATGAATTAGATTAAAAAATCATACAAAATTGTGACTCCTCTATGGAAATAAAGTTCAGAGCTAGACAAAAGTCTAGAACGATGTTATCTCCAGTATCAGTCTTATTACCAATTTTAGGCTGTGATGAGACATCAGATGGTACTGTTACATTGCTGTCTCAGAAAGAATGATACTGCTAAAAGCTGTTTGCATGAAATGAAAGTTACGATTGGAGAGCCATGGAACCCTCTATGCCACCATAAATCCCTTCATTATGACAAGTGTCATTCATCATTTTTTTTCTTATAATATCAACCAAAGAGGAGCCAAGTTGCCACAACTCTTTACATAATATGTTTTTAGGTGCAAGGACTGCCATGTCAAGAGCTATTTCTTACAATATTTATTTACCTTGCACCCAAGGGGCATCGAAAAAGGGGGAAATGGTGCATGGTAAAAATCAAACCAACTCACTAAATGTTACAAAAGGGTGTGAGACAACAAAACAGTAAATAAGCTGGGCAATAACTCTAAGAAAGGGGAAAGTTGGTCAGTCTGCTCAAAGTCAGGATGGTTAATTTGTTTCAGCTCCATTGAGAAGATTACTCTTTATGGAAACACATATATATGAGCAGGGCACAACAAGGGAAAAACCAGCGATGTCAGTTTTTTTTCATTTTCTGGGTTATTGTCCCAACATGAGGCTTGGCTGGGTCTGCTTTAGTCTATCTAAGTCAGATACGGAAAAACGAGCTCTGACAGTCTCTGTGAGGGTTACAAAATATAGCCTACAATGGAAAAACCAGCGATGTCAGGATGTCAACAACGGAAAGACCAGCGATGTCAAGAATACTTTTCTTTGTTGCGCCCCTTGTGACCAATCAAAACTATTATTTCAGTGAAAATAGTTGGTTTGGTATAGGTTTGACGCCCCTGTCAAGATTACAAGTTTATTTAAAAGGCGCAACCTCTGAGTTTAACTTCCATCCCCGAAACGAATAGGAATTCCATGTAAAATGCCTTTCCAAAGGACACAACATTGGACTGATCTGTGGCTCAAACCCCGCACTGGTCTTATATGCGCTGCTAAACGGGAAAATCATTCATTAAGAACCCATGTTGCGCTAACATTTGATTTTTCAAAGAACTTGGGTTACCCAAACATCTCAGCAAACGATTTGTACAATTGTTAGCTGATATCTCTCTTCTCCTTTAAAATCTACTCTCTAAGTGATGAAACAGTGTTACGAGACAGTCAGCAAAAAGCGTGGAGAAAATGTGGCCAGCATGCTGCTACATTACTTTCTACACATTCTGCCAGTTGATGTGACTCATGCGCAGACCCAAACAAGAACTGGACAGTGGTCTGGTTTCTGTATCATGTTGGTGTCCATCAGGAAAGGTGCGAAAAAGTGAAAATCTATTTTCCAGTGAAAGGCCACAGCTAACATGGAAAGCGACAGAAAACATGACAGAGGTGAATGAGAAGGTCACTGTAGACATGCCAGCCAGCTGGGTGGCAATTCAAGACAGAGCCCTTTGGAAATCCTTGTTGCTCCAGATAGTGAGGATGACACAAGCCGTATTCCAGAAAGTGTCAGAAAACCTTAAACCGTACTACCATGTCTCCTGCCTTATACCCACTCAACCTCTGCTTGAAACTTTAATCTCACAGGCCCATCCACAGTTTATGCAGTATAGAGAGAACTGAAATGGGGTCCGTTTCACACCGCAATCATTATGAAGCCTGTGGAAAAGAAGCGCTTTGCAAGACTCCAGCCCCTGAAATCCCTCTATGAGCCTGCTGACCATCAAAGCTACCAAATGTGCAGACATGAAGGTCATAAAGATGTTCTGGCCCGACAGTTTTTCTCAGAATTGCTAAGGGAATAAGTGCCGCTCAAGAATCTGATGACTCAAGTCGTCATCGAAAAATGAATAATATACAATATAAATAAACAGAGTAAAAATATGACTAAAAATGGTGTGCAATTTTCTTTTTCGAATCATTTGGCGTAGTTTGTATTCACAAATTTGAACACACTATAGAGGAAAGATGGATCTCTTACTATCTCGGCGTTGAATATCGAACTCCTTATAAATTTCGGTGAACCCGATACGAAAGTGTTTCCGACACCAAAAGTATCTTTAGGTTAATTTAAGAGTACGAACACAGAACGAGCTCGAGAAAGTTGGTCAACATCGTTCCGATCCGGTCCAAAAATTCAACCACAAACAGGGACCAAATTTTCGATGCGCACGGAAGCCCGATAGGCATTGCTACATTATCTGTGCGCGGGAGTGAAAGTAAAAATGAAGTGACTATTTCTCAGAGCGCTCGGGAAAATAAACCTGAACTCTATTTCTCCGAACGGTTTCCGTCCTCGAGATTTGTTGTTTTTTTGCGAGATTTCGGCATCATCTTTCGGTAGTCTTTCGTTCTGCCATTCTGTGAGGACTGGAAAGAAGCATTTTTTTGCATATCTAATTCAATTTCTAGAGCTAGAAATTTTTAGTTGTCTGAATATTCAGATACTTCAATTGTATTCGCGGCAGCGTTCCCGGACTATACATTGTACTTCATTAGAAAAAATTATGCCTTCAAAAGGTACTGCGAGAAAACAAGACTGCTCGACTTCGGCAGTAATTTTGCATTTAGTCACCCCTAAAGCAAAAACTTAATCACAAAAAAAAATCCATCGACGCCCCCCCCCCCCCCACACTTCACACCTTATACACACACACACAAACATACGCACACTCATACAGCACACACACACACACATAATACTCGGGCCACTCAATTCGCAAATGACCAAAAAGTCTCGAGAACGGAAGCCGTTCAGAGAAATAGTTAGAGTTCAAGTTTATTTTCCCGAGCGTTCGGAGAAATGAATTACTCTTCGCTGAAGACCAAAGCCTGGCACACAAAGATGAATGAAGTCTCCAACACCACACCACCAAATTAAACGAAGAATGTAACAACTACGAAGAAGATCAACTTCAACAAATCAGAGACAATGAAAGTAAGCAGAAAGCCAGAACCACTCAAGAAACACATCAACAACAACAGTCTCAGACAGGTCCAAGAATTTAAGTACCTCGGAAGTATATTCACAGAGGATGGGAGACTGAACAGAGAAATTGAAACACGAGTAAAAAAGGCCAATAATGTTAGTTACCAGCTTACTTCACTACTGAAACATCCTAACATCCCCATGACAACAAAACTCAAAACGATCAACACCATATTCATCCCAACACTCACCTATCAATGCCAAACATAGACCACGAACAAGACATTTAGAGAGCCTAGAAATACCCTGTGAAAGGCAATGCCTTAGAAAAGCAGTAAACAAGACCAGGCGAGACAAAATTAGAAACTCTGTAATCCGAGAAATGGTGGGCACAAATGATGTCATGCATCACTTCCAACACCAAAGAATCAAATGGTTCGGACTCCTACGATTACCAACACACCATACAGCACAACGTGCCGACATAAAAAAATTGGAAGTGACTATCCTCACACGGGGTGAGAATATTGAAATACGATTGACCTCTCACCCCGGGTGAGACTTGCCACCGTTGGCTATCCTCACCCGGTGTGAAACAAGACCTGTTTTTTTTTCTAATTTCGGAATACTTTCTATCAGTGTGGATGATCAAATGGATAAAAGCAAAGAAAAAATTACGTTATAGCAAAAAAGTAAGCTAATTTGATCGTCTAAAAGATGCTATGGCTATTTCACTTTTCGAATCGAGCCGAACTACGTGGGTCGCCATTTTATTTTGCCCGAAAGTTCTCGCAAGATCTACTCTTCCCCTCTTCTCTCTCTCTCTCTGAATACTGTCTATCGGTGGGGATGATCAAATTGACCAAAACAAAGTTAAAAAATGATGTTTAAACATAAAAGTAAATTAATTTGGTCGTCTACTGCCCACAGACAAAATTGTACGCTTTTAGGCTAACAACAGAGTAGTAATGGAACGTTTGTTCACGGCGCAGAATTCTAAAAATGTTCTGTTATCACAGTGTAGAATTCTGCGGTTCAGGGTAAACGCAAAATTGGTTGGCCTAGATCTAGGCTATAATGGTGAACGTACACCGGGTGAGAATAGCCAAAAGACTCGCCTGCGCTATTCTCACCCCGGGTGAGAATAGAGGTGTGGCCAAAAAAATTTGATGGCAACAAGGCAAGAGGGCGACCGAGAAAGACCTGGATAGATTGAGTCAGGGAAACATTAGCCACCCACGGCATCCCCCTGACCCAAGCTCTCTGGCTGGCTCTTTCTTCCCGTGACACCCAAAAGTAAAGGGTATTTTTATAATTATAAGCGGCGGATAAAAGTAAAGTAAAAGTTCGGAGAAATAGAACTGGCCAAGTACAAAATTACCCCAGCAGAAGTTATGATAGTGGAGCCGAAGTAATTTATGTGAACAATAAACACATGAAAGTGAGTGAGTCGGTAGTGGCAGTGGTCAATTCAACAAGCAAGTCCTCTTTTGACTTTTGACTTGTAACAAGAACGTACACATCCACTGACACTGCATCCAGCTTTTCACTTTTTACAACTGAACATGTGGCCTCTGCATCTTGTTAATATGTACACCACAACATGCACACTTACCTTTTCAACTATGCCAAGATTTCCTGTCTTCAATATATCTCTGATGATATCCCCTGCTTTGTATGAAACTGAAACGGAGGCCGCTAAGACCCGCATAACAAGCGGTGACACAACTGATGTTGACGCCATTTTGTATCAATGGCAAACAATTTAGAAGTCGTAAAGCGCAATACGTCTATCAAAAATTATATAGGAAACAAATACTTTGTAATCAAAAGACACAGACAATAATACTTCTAATACTTCTGACAAAAGCTTTCAGCCTTTGCTACTTAATGTTTGCCCACTTTAGAATCTTTTGGACAGTTGCAAAAGGGATATGATTTTATTTTGGATAACAGGGGAGATTACTCTCACATGAGAGAATGATCTGCTTAAGCAACGTCAACGTCAACTTCCTTGACATGTTACTTGTGACTATAAAGCAATTATACTGGTGTTTTTTCTAAGATGAAATAACTTCACAATGTGGTCATTTTTCAGCCGTGATCCCACGAAGGATTTTCATTACGACATTGGAGAAAAAGTTTTAGGGCTCGAAGACAAATCTATTTGGACGTTACATCAAGGGAAGAAAAAGGTAAACACACAAGTACAAGAAAAAACAAACAAACAAAAAAACAAAATCAAGATGAAAAAGACTTGATAAATTGAAAACCTCATTTTATTACCACTCAAGATGTTGGTGTTGGTCTAGGTCTAGAATCTAGATCTAGAATCTAGATTTAGATTCTATCTTCATTCTGAAATTGCAAAATTTAGTTCGAAGCTGTGATACTATCAAGTTGAGTGATAGCCTGGGTTATGTAGGAATGTAGGCCTACTACTGTAGTGTAAGACAGGAAGGACTTCCGTAACGAGTGACCACCCCATCAAACACAATAAAGAAGAAGCCTAGACCTAACCCTTCCCCTAACCTAACCCTACCCTACCCCTACCCCTAACCCTACCCTTACCCCTACCCCTACCCCTACCCATACCCCAAGCCCTCAATTCTGCTCTGTCTCATAGTGGTCGCTCGTTATGGAAGTCCTCCCGTAAGTTACGGCAAGACATGCCGTTAAATGTAGAACGACGCATCTTCCTAATTGACTGCTAATTTTAGTTTAATGTGATATCATCATTCCCTGGGATACCCTCAGACTATTTTAAGAAGGTCGTATAGGTATCGCATGGAATTCATATGATGTGTTTCAGTATGATTTCGGAATTCCTAGAATCTAGTCTAGTGCTTGGACATGATGGAAGATCACTTAGATCTAGATCTAGATCGTTGATACTCAGAACAGTAAGATTAGGAATGCTGATTCTTGAAATTGAAACTCGGTAAAAGCAAAGACCGCACGAAAACTGCCGTAAAGACGCTGGGGCTGGAGGATTAGATATAGATTTAGATCTAGATCTACCCCTCCTCCTGCATTCTTCATCTCTAATTATAAAAAAAAACAAACTACAAAGCAACAAATTATAATTTATGCGACAAACTGTTGGTCAGTCGGGTGGAGGAAAAGAGAAAAAAACAACTTTCCGGGACCGGGATCGAACCGCTCATAAAATAAATTCATGACTTCAAACGCAGACGTGCTGTCCATTCGGCCATCAGAACTTCCAACAGCGAGAGGTAGATTCTAGATTAAACTTGATATACATCATGACACTTACCATCTTTGGTGCCATGCGGTTGGCTATACTTAGATGTGGTCACGTGATCGGAGGGGTATATATCCTGGTCTGACGTCGAACAAGATGGCCACCTTATCTAAAAATAGTTTGCGTCGTTCTACGTTTCATCACATGTTACTCTGTAAGTGACGACTACGTGCAACTAAACGTAGAACGTCGCAAACTATTTTGAAGGAAGGAGGCCATCTTGTGTGACGTCAGACTGAGATACCTCTCCAATCAGGCCTACATCGAAATATAGTCAAACGCATGACACCAAAGGTTCTACAAGAGATCTTTGATGGCATGAGGCTTTGGTGCAATGTTTTTCCAGGAATACCGGCAGGCCTAATGTATATGACGTGGTGCTCTGATGATGCTGCTGCTTTCTCTTCTGCGCATTGTTTATCGGACCCAGGGGGGGGGGGGAATCTTCTGGCCTCCTTACGGCTATTTTTGTGCGCTTTAGGCCCTATTGTCTTTGCGTTTACTATGTTTCAATTTCAAGTTCAAGCAACAGCGTTCTTACTGATTCTGAGCATCAATGATCTAAAAGCAATCTTCCATCATGTCCCAGTGTGAAATTTTCACGTTCGAAACACATCGAAACGGATAACAGGTCAAGCCCTGACCCAACATGTCTTTTCATGCGGTATCTCCACAGCCTTTTAAAAGTAGTCTATGGGTATCCCAGAATGTGATGACATCACATTAGCAGCCTTTCAGGCAGGTGGGTCGTTTTACGTTTTGCCAAATGTGTGATGACTTGTCGACTCGAAAGTTAGGCATGGATCTAGAGTAGAATGACAAGAAGAGACCCTATTATTAGAGAGAGTTAAAATTACAGTCAAGCCTCTCCCATGGAATTGATAGAGGGATCCAGAAAAAAATTTCATCTGAGTCATTTTCTGTCTTGGACAGGGGAATTTAGGTTTGGGGGAGGGGGGATTCAAGATTCAAAGATAGTTTCATCGGTCGCCTGTCCGGTTGGCGAGCAGTTGTCAAAACTCCACACACTCCTCCCAAGTACTGTGGTAGCCTCTATTATAATGGTATGCCATCATTCTTACTTATAATACCATTTTAGTAAGTGGTTGCATTTCTCAGGACCACTGTTTGGCCATTTAGAAGGACTTCCATTGTAAACGAGCGACAACCCCAACAAACACAATAAAGAAGAGACCTAACCCAACCCTGACCTAACCCCTACTAACCCAACCCCCACCTTTACCCCTACCCCTACCACTAATTAACCCTAAACCTAACCCTCTATTCTACTGTTTCTTAGTCGTAGCTCTAAATACGGAATTCCTCCCGACCTTTTAAAAACTGAGAAATAAATTATT